TAGAACCCTATCTTTTTAACATTCCTTTCAATTAATGCCCTTCATGACCCAATTTTTAGACTATGCCATCCAACCTACTTAAGAAAATAAAGCAGTAAATTTGGTTTTTGTTATTGTTGCACTTTCTCTATGAGAAGGAACTCATCTCTCTAGACATTTTCCCACATGTCCATATTTGCACACAAAACTGAACAAATCAGCTCAAACCATTTGTGTTTCATCACTGAAATAGGAAAGTCACTGATTTTTAATCTAAAGATAGACTTTTCTTTCAAATCAATTTTTATTTATAAAAATATGTTCAGAACAGCAAAAGAGCTACAACTGCAGAAATTTAGGGTTGTTTTAATTATGTGTATACTGATTCTTAAAAGATAATTAATAATTTTGTATCTGACCTAATTAATATTTTAAAACTATATCAAAGTTGAAAATAGGAGACTATACATGAGCTGTCTCTTGTGCCATGTGGAAGTTACATCACCATCTGTTCATTTATAAAGTCATTGAAACATACAAATTAACCAGGAACGCAATCTTACCCTAACTCCTCCATAGTTTCAGCATAGTGTTTTCTTATGGATGTATACCACTGACATTAATACATGAGTCTTGTATTTCTAAACCATATTATCAAGTGGTTTTTATGATGATGTACAAAAGGCAAAAAAATTTTTTTAATAGAAACAGCCATCAAAAAGCACTAACACTTAAGCAAATTGAGTTTAGGGAAGATCAGAAGCACTCACTAGAACAGAACTGAATGTTAGATGTAAAGAGAAAAAGATGTCCCAGAACACAAATCCTTAAACCAAAAGGGAAGAGTAACTACACCATTCTGAAAAAAGTTGCAATTGCTTTCAGGCAATGTCAACAGGTTGTAATGGCTCCTAACACATACTCTGAAGCAGCTCTTTCTCTTTTTATATTTTCTCTTTCTATTCACAGCCTTTTCTAAACTGGATAAACACATTTATCATTTTAAAGCAATTTCATGGATACAAAAGTGGTAAAACTAAAAAGATAAAATTATTGAATTTATAAAGTCAGATAAATAAAAAAGATCCACACATTAAATAATTTGAGTCATACACAAAATTTATTACTTAAGCCTCAAATGGCTGGATTTGCATTATGCGAGAGGGGAGTTCCTTTTACATTTGTTATAAAAGGAAACCTTCCATAAAATATGGATAGGACACTATACTACTAGCTAGGAAATATGAGAGTTCGTCCAGCACATCTGGAGACCACTAGAATGTACAAACAGATAGCTCAGGATCTGAAATTAAACAAGAACATTAACCTGTAATCTTGAATATACTAAAAATCAACATGTTACAGGTCTATGGAACATTTGAACCTGTTGAACAGGTTGATCTAAACAGGATGATCTAAAACAAATAGAAATAACAGAAATTTCTGTTATACAAACACAAATGTTATGGCAGATCCTGAAATCCATGTCTAGAAAAAATGGAGTTCTGATTCTGAAAAGACTGAAAATGATTAAGGTAAAAAGATTACTTGGATACTAATGGTTAACTTAGTTTGGGAAATTTCGTAGGCTCAGAGCCACAGCACTGCCACAAAGAAACTTATATTAACAATTTGTAGAATGCTGAGCTTGGAATAGATGCATCTTTGTTACAAAGAACAAATTCTAGCATGTTTAATAATCTCATCGATACATAAAGACATTTATAATCTGCAACTGGACTAATCTGAACACAAAACATCCATCACATTTGTTCAACTGTTATTATCTCAGTAGGCTTCTTTGGATTGCATCAGTCATTTAAATAAAAAAATAACCTTGATTATATATTTAGTTCAAAATGTAGAACAGTTGTAAATAGAGACTGGCAGCCTACTCTAAAAGTCTAATCAAAGGAAGACCAACATGTATAACCTATTAGTAAGAAGAAATTTAGAAGGCTCACTGGAGTGATCCTAATTACTCAGGGCTGGAAAGGAACAGAATTTCCAGATGTTCCATTACTGTAACAGTTTTTTTGTATTTGGTAACATGAAAGGCTCTCAGAATACAAAGGACATTCTACTTTCAAAGCAATACAGCATAAATCTAACATCCCCAACAGCCAATATTATCACTTACAAACTTTATGTTTTTAAAATAAGGACTGAAAGAGGGGAAAAGTGTATAATCCTTGATTGTCAGTATGGAAAGCATGAGATCACATCCTAAACTATTTTCAATAGTTTAAACTTCATAGCAAACAATCCTGCATGAATTCACATTTCACAATCCAAAAGATTTCAGTAAACAAAGAGAGGAAGGAAGGGTGGAGCAGCACCACACAAGCAAACATTTGCTTGGTAGTTTGCTAAGAAGGACACTGTCAGGAAGTGCCATTATACACACCATTGTTTCAGCTACAAGCCAACAAGAGAATAGCAGATCAAAAATGTAAAATGGAGAATGGAAATGACTATTATAAAGCATGCATTGCTACAAGAAGTATACATTTATCAGAAGTTACAAGCACAATCCACATGCTCCAAAGCTGTAATAGAACTTCCATGGAGTAAAGAAGCTACACACTGTAGATAAACTGGAAAGTAAATATGACTATTTCATACATATTGTCAACAGTGACCCCCACGTACACTATTTTGGGAGATATATACCATACATATACCATTCATATAGAACAAAGAAAGAAATATTAAACACAGAAGATAAGTAATAGTTGTTACCCTTGCTAAGGTTAATGTTTATGCAACATACCGAAATATAAAAATTACTTGATAGGTATATTCTTGTACAGTATTAGTATGAGGTTTTGTTTACATATATAAGCAACTGTCATGCCATTCAGTGCTAAATAATGTACAAATTAATACTTTATATGCTAATGTTTTGTTCTGCAAGTTAAAATAATCATATTGTCCCATATAATTTTGTTTTGACCCAAGCCCTACATGCTTAAAGTGGTGTTTAATAAAATGTGCAAAAATAGGACTTGAAATAAATAGGAAAGTTCAAATAATCTTATAATAAATGTATAAGAAAGATTGCCAAGATACTATAAAGCCTTACTACTTAAATCTCTCCAATGGAATGAGTTTAGTTATTTAATTGGAAGTACCATAATAAAGAATGGTACAAATTCAAGAAAGAAATAGAACGATAGGGGAAAGAGTCAAATTTCCTTATAAAGTTCTGTATTTTAGTCTATTGCTGTCCATTTTTAACCTCCAATTCATTTTTTAAGTCTACATATTGCTTAGCTAGATGCTATAAAATTAAAATACAGGATAATATCCCAGGACATCTTCCGGTCTTACAAATGTTACAGTAGTAAATTCAAAAATACAAATGTGCACAAAATACAGTTATTCTCAGAGTACACTGTAATTTATAAAGCTCCCTACCTGGGTGAGTTTACAGTTACCGGTAATCTGTCAGAAGGGAAACATTAAACTTTTATGGGAAAGAGGATTTGAAGAAGCCAAAAACTAGTCCTTCATAGAATTCTTGAGAAGACATATCCAAAAATACTGGCCAGTAAGAAATAAGAAACATTTGAAAAAAAGATTACAAAACAAGGAACTACAGAATTATCATGCCACAGGTCTCAGTCATAGCACATGGCACTTACAAAGATTAAACCTGAACCAACCAGTTGAATGAGCTTTACTTCCAGGCTGTTGACTTTTAAGTATAATTTATACTCAGCCCTACAATTACATTGGTAAAGATAGCCAACTTGTCAGGTAACAAATAAGTCAATTATTATTATATACGTGCTATTATATGGAAGATGATGCTTAGATATTCAGCTCCACCCATCCCCCAAATGCTTTGGATACACCTGCTCTTTGTTTACCTTTTATAAAATGTCGAAGTGGAACTTTCCAATCCAATATCATTACCTCAGAAAGAATATTTTACTTTTTCACGTGCCACTAAATATTCTAGCAGTTTTATGTTAATAAAAGGGCAGCTTGCTTTGGGGGAGGGAGCAGAGATCAGGAGTTTCACACGTGCCTTACTAGAAGTCAAGTGCAGAAACAGAGGCTCTGGGTTAAAAAAAAAAAAAAAGGAAGAAACTATGGAAGATTGGCTGAGAAAGGAAGCACTTTCTTGCTTTCTTCTTCGAAACCAACGTAGAATGGTTTAAAACACCCAGAGGCCGCTACTTGGGGCAGCACCCTAAAGGCGGGTAGTTGGAAAAGGCGCAGCCCCCAACTCCTCGTCAAAAGGAATCTCTAAGTGGGCCAACTGCGGGCAAGTGCCAGCCACCCTGAGGAGCACGGGAATTTGCGTTTCTTCTTCCACCAATACAATCAGCACCAATGTCCTTCCTGAGCTCGGGGTTTTTCCTCCGCAGCCACTTCGAACTCTTGTCATGTTTAACAGAATCTCCCCTCCCCATTTTGTTTTGTTTTTATTTTTGCTGTTGCTAACATTTCCGACCTACCTCAGGAGAAGGCAATCGTGGCAGAATTCAAGAATCAACCTTTCCCTTCCGACTTGTTCAGTTCCTTACAACCAACAATGCGGAGAAGGCAGTATTGGAGATGACTACGATAGCAACCTCCCCCCACACTGCCTCGCAACGCCGGGATACCATCGGCGTAGCAACCCTTTGACGTTTTCATTCGCAGGAGCTATCGCACCCTGATCCCCTTCCCCACCTCGCTCTCAGTGCTGCAATTAAGGGCGGGGGTCCATCTGTTGTCACCACGCGTCGCGTTTCCCACGCATGCCTTCATTACTAGCTAGAGTCCCGCCAGCGCAGGTGGCGTCATTCTTGTTACAATACCCGCACAGCATCACACTTCCTTGAGGCTTGCAAGCGCCCTTCACATACAGTAGTTTACACTGAAGTCAGCGGGATTTGACGTTCTTGAGAGCAATAACAAAATGCTGTAGCTCTTTCCCTTCCCCCAGCAGTCCCCATCTCCATACAAACACACGCCTCTGGCAAGCCACGCTCCTTCCTCCTCCCCCTAACCAGAAATTAAAGTACCTTTTTCTAAAGTAGAATCAGTTCCACAAAGTGCGGAGCTAAACAATGAAGTTGGCTGCCCTGGGGCAGAAGGCAAGACCACCAGCAGTTTCTCCTACCGCCTCCACCATTGAAGTTCGCCTTTTGCCGCGGCTTGTTTTGATGTTTCTGACCCCCCCCCCTTTCTATCCCATCCTCAGCCTCCCAAGCACTTATAAAGCTCCCAGCCGTCGTCGCTGCTGCTGCCTCTACTGCTGTCGCTGCTCTCACTTCCTCTTCCTCCCTCCTGCTGGCCGGAGGCACGATTTGCATTTCCAAGAAGCTGTTAAAAATTATCTAGATAGGCGCGAATCTCAGTGAGGAAGAAGAATTAAGTCGTTTAGGGACTTCGTGCTTTAACTCTCGAATCGCAATCCCATCCTTAATCCCATTCATTGAAATGTAAATTGCAAAGAGTTCAGTAAAATTGGAAGAGTCTTGTCCAGGACTCGATACAATCAAATTCGCATGAATTTATGTATTCTGCGTGTATATGTTTCTGCCTTTCTACCTACCTACAAGGTACATCTTGAAATGATTTAGACTAGAGTAAATTGTTAATGTATATGTGCGTGTATGTGTAAAAATTGTTGTATTGATTGAATTATGTATGATCTTGCAGTAGGATGTTCCGTGCTAGTAACGGAAAATCGCTGTAAAATATTACTACCTCAAGCAGTTTTTAGCTTCAGAACAGTATAGCGGTTCAGAAGATCTCCAAAAGAGGGCGGCAGTAAATATAAACAGTGAAATTGATTCCTCCCTTTTAGCTCCAGGCTTAAGCTTCTAATTAAGGTTGCAATTACAAAATGTATTTTGCCAGCTATTAGCATAGGTGAATCCTGCAGTGCCTGAATCTATTGCCAGCAGCACTTTATTTCTAAGTTACAAAATTTTGGCGGATTCTCCCGCTGCAAGATATTCTCAATAGAATTTTAGGGGGTAGAGAACTTTGAGGAGGTACAGTAGCTTGTAAATTGTAGGTTGAAAAGCTGGGTCAGATTCCCAGCTGTACATTGAATTGTTCAAGTTAAGAGTGGCTGCTTTTATTATGATCGGCTCATTAAGCTGGTTGTTTCTGCCATAAACATTAGATGAAGCCTAAAAGCATAAATTGCAAGCACTTTTAACATTTCAAATCATAGATTACTTTCTTTGTGTTCTATTGATCATTCATTCCGTAGAAATGAGTGAGTTTATTATGTGGGTCCTAGAAATTAGAGGGATTTTTGGTAGGTAGAGTCTTCTTGCATAGTCTGATAACTTTATCAGACAGTTTTATCGATTACATCTGATTAACTGAGAAATCTACTTAGTAAAAATAGTGAGCAGATATTTTTGAAAAAAACTCAACAGTTCTCTTGCACTTTAGAAAGTTGGAATACACTGACATTTACATCTAGTGATCCTTTGCAACTTCTAGACAACTGAAGATTGAACTTGGATTTTTCCATCTGACTGTTCAAAGGGAAAAAAACAATTGGTGGTCTTTAGCAAAGGTTTGATATCTATAATTTCGCTCAAGATAAGCCTGCATTGTATTTTAATTTTCTTCCATGCTACTAGCTGTCAATATCATTTCCTTGTGTGCTTTTAATTTTATGATTTAATTTGTTTAGAAAGGAGGACCTGAAATGGGAGGAAAATTGCAGGAGATGCAAAGGGATCATTAACAATATGGGAAATGACAAGAATGGAACTAGCAGGAAAACAATGAAAGAGGGCTTCTCATTCATACTGTGAAAAATGATCCTACCTCTCTAGAACTTTCTCCACTTTGTTTTTGGAAAGGAAATTCCAGTCCAATAATTGCTACTACATAAATAAATCATATTAATAATGTATTAATATTGTTTAGACAGCCAGTTTCCTGTAGTGGTTAAGACATTATTAGAAACTGGGAGACCAGGGGTTTTGATGCCCTAGATATAAAGTACAGCTGATAATCTTGGGCTAGTTACTTTCTCTCAGTCCTAGGAAGGAGGCAATGAAATTCTGCAACAGAGAACAGAACTGAAGCCGGGGGAGGCAAAAGCTGGGAGTGAATCGCGTTCAAGGTATGAGATTCACTCTTACAAATCCTCGAGTTACGAATGGAATGAGCAGGCTCCATCTGCAAAGATGAAATCAGGAAAGCAAAGGCTCAGAATGAACAAAGACTTGCAACAAAAGTCAAAGATAATTTAAAAAGTTTCTTTCAACATACAAATAACAAAAAAAGTCAAGGAAACAGTTGGTCCGCTAAAGAGAGAAGATGGCAAGGAAGTAACAAGTAGCAAAGAGAAAGCAGAGCTGCTTAACTCATTCCTTGCATCAGTTTTCACACAACCTAGTAAAAATGTAAATGTAAAAGACGAACTAGAAATAAAAATTAAAATAGGCAAGAAAATGGTAAGAGAACATCTGTCTGACCTTCATGAATATAAATCACCAGGACCTGATGGATTATATCCCAGAGTTCTGAAGAAGTGGACAGATGTTATCTCAGAACCATTGTATCATATCTTTAAAAAACTTAGAACATTGGAGAACTACCTGAGGATTGGAAAGGGCTGATGTGGTTCCCATCTTCAAAAAAAGGGGACAAAACAAAGCCAGGAAACTACAGACCAGTCAGTTTAACATCAATACCTGGGAAGATCCTAGAAAAGATAATCAAAAAACAGATCTATGAACAACTAGAAGCAAACAAAATCATAACCAGTAGCCAGCATGGGTTTGTTAAAAACAGATCATACCAAACCAATCTTATTTCATTCTTTGACAAAATGACTAAATTAGTAGACCAGTTAAATGCTATGGACATAGAATATTTAGAATTCAGCAAGGCATTTGACAAAGTAGACTACAACCTACTTCTTGGTAAGCTAGAAAAATGTGGGATAGACAGCATCACCATCAGATGGATTTGTAACTCAACTACTCAGCGAGTAGTCCTTAATAGTACTACAACTACATGGAGGAAAGTAAGCCGTGCGGTAACACAAGGTTCTGTCTTAGGCCGAGTACTCTTCAACATCTTCATAAATGACTTAGATGAGGGAATAGAAGGGGATCTCATCAAATTTTCAGATGACATTAAGCTGGCAGGAATAGCCAACCCTGCAGGAGACAAGCTCAGAATCCAAAAAAATATTGTCAGACTTGAACATTGGGCCCTATCTAATAAAATGATATTTAATGTGGAGAAAAGGAAGGTTTTACACCAAGGCAGGAAAAATCAAAGGTACAAGTACAGATTAGGTGAAACCTGGCTCACAAACAGTAACTGTGAGAGGGACTTTTGAGTCCTAGTGGACTATCACTTAAACATGAGTCAGCAGTGTGCAGCAGCAGCCAAAAAAGCTAATATAATCCTTGGTTGTATAAACAGAATCAAAATCACATGAAGTACTAGTACCGCTTTATAAAGCCTTATTAAGGCCACATCTGGAATACTGCATCCAGTTTTGGTCACCACATTACAAAAAAGATGTTGAAACTTGGGGAAAAGTGCAAAGAAGAGCAACTAAGATGATTAAAGGTCTGGAGACTAAAACATATGAAGAACAGTTGCAGGATTTGGGAATGACCAGTCTAGAGAAAAGAAGGACTAGGGCGGACATGTTAGTATTCCAGTATTTGAGAGGCTGCCACAAGGAGGAAGGGATCAATTTATTTTCCAAAGCACCAGAAGGCAGGACAAGAAACAACAGATGGAAACTAATCAAGGAGAGAAGCAACCTGGAATTAAGGAGAAATTTCCTAACAGTGAGGACAATTAACCAATGGAACAGCTTGCCCTCAGATGTTGTGGGTGCTTCATCACTCAAGGTTTTTAAGAAGAGATTGACAACCATTTGTTTGAAATGATATAGGGACTCCTGTTTGAGCAGAGGGCTAGACTAGTTCTATTCTGATTGACTGAGATAAAGAAGAAGCTAAAGAACAAGAAGACTAAAGAATATCTGATCATGAAATATCATCTAGAATATTAAGGAAATACTGGAAATAAACAGCAAATAACCGCTATAGCCAAGAAGATCAGGAGATATAAAACTCAATAGACAGAATCTCCAATTTCAATCAAATTAGAAATGTTTCTACAAATCTATCAGTAGAGAGACTGCAGGGAATCAGTCAACACCTGACAAAGAAAAAACAGTGCAGTTCTGCCCACAGCTATGGGACAAGCAAAGAAATACAGACTGATTACAAACAATGGCATGTAGCAACAATGGTGCATTGGAATATCTTCAAGAAATAACCATGGGCCTGCAAACAAGAAAAGTTGGGGCCATAAAATAGTCAAGGTAATAAAAAAATGTTGTAGTAGTAATAAAGTTGGAAGGGATCGTGGAGGTCATCTAGTCCAACTCCCTGCTCAGGCAGGAAACCCTATACCATTTCAGACAAATGGCTGTCCAGTCTCTTCTTAAAAACTTCCAGTGTTGGAGCATTCACAGCTCCTGGAGGCAGTTCCACTGATTAATTGTTCTAACTGTCAGGAAATTTCTCCTTAGTTCTAGCTTCTCTCTTTGATTAGTTTCCATCCGTTGCTTCTTGTCCTGCCTTCAGGCGCTTTGGAGAATAGCTTGACTCCCTCTTCTTTGTGGCAGCCCCTGAGATATTGGAACACTGCTATCATGTCACCCCTCGTCCTTCTCTTCATTAAACTAGACATACCCAATTTCAGCAACCGTTCCTTATATGTTTTAGCCTCCAGTCCCCTAATCATCTTTGTTGCTCTTCTCTGTACTCTTTCTAAAGTCTCAGCATCTTTTTTACATCGTGGTGACCAAAACTGGATGCAGTATTCTAAGTGTGGCCTTACCAAGGCATTGTAAAGTGGTATTAATACTTCACGAGATCTTGATTCTATCCCTCTGTTAATGCAGCCTAGCACTGGGTTGGCTTTTTTGGCAGCTGCAGCACACTGCTGGCTCATATTTAAGTGATTGTCCACTAGGACTCTGAGATCCCTCTCACAGTTGCTACTATTGAGCAAGGTACCACCTATACTGTACCTGTGCATTTGGTTTTTCTTGCCTAAATGTAGAACCTTACTTTTTTCACCATTGAATTTCATTTTGTTAGATAGCGCCCAATGTTCCAGTCTGTCCAGATCCTCCTGTATCTTAAACCTATCT